GATATTCCTTTGGTCATTTATCCTTTGTCCAATCGAGAGAAAGAGACTAGGGGTCAGAGATCTACTATCGTGCAGCGGCCCGTCTCGCAGACCATGAGATGATTCTTCGCCGGGTGGGTCGGCCGCAACTCTTTGTACAGGGGGTTGCGCGTCCGCAGCCAGAAAGACTGGTTTCCTACAAAATCTCCCAGATGAGAGGGTCTGATATCCACAAGCGAGACGGTCGTGGTAGCCGTCGATAGTGTTGGGCCGGCCTCGGCGCGGAGCTTCTTTACCAGGAGATCACGGACGGCAATCGGTTCGTCAGCGTTGCTGGTGGTGGTGGTGGTGATGGTGTCGTTAGATGATGCTTGTTGTGTGCTGCTGCTGCTTGGTCCTGGTGGTATGGCTGCTGTGCTGAATACACCCGTGATGTTCCGCGTTCCCGTCTCCAAGCCGACGATGGCGTCTAGGAGTCCCACGAAAAGGAATGGGTGCTGCAGAATCTCCACTGAGAACGAGCGGCAGGTCTGGCGGGCTAGGGTACGATACCCCTCCTCCTCAAAGAGACTCGCGAGGCGCAGCAGATTGCGCGCAATAACGCCGTTGATGGATGGGGTGGCTGACTCGGTCCCGGTTTTCAAGCGTAGGAGAGGACCAGGAGTGCCTGGGGTCATGGTTGAGGGGGTGCTATAGTAACCTGCGGGTGTGGAGCCAACGTGTGCGAGGAAGTTGTCGTTAAGATAGTCTTATTGATGTGTTAGCAAGCCAGGTTATTTTCAACATTTACTAGGCACTCACTCTGCAGCTGGTCGGCGAATTGCAAAAAGCTGTCGTCGAAAGTCGCCTCGTACATATCCAACAGTCCACTTACCAAGTACGCATAATCATCAGCGAAGCCAGGGGTGGTCCCCCGAGCCCCGTCGCGGTAGATGCGCCATAGCTGTCCCGTTGACTTGTCAAACAAGTTTTCCTTGATGAAGTTGATTGCCTTGGCTGCCGCCTCCCTACACTGTGCTGCCTTCGTATTTTCAATTTCTTCGAATAGTGCACTGCACTTGGCGAGTGCCCCGATGGCAAGTCCATTCCAGGCAACAATGACCTTGTCGTCCAAGTCCGGACGTACGCGAGTCCTCTCCCTGTAGTCGCACAGCTTCTGCTTTGCAGACTTGATAATCCTGACCACCTCGTCTTCTCCGAGACCAAATTCTTTGGCCAATTTGCTAGGCGTCACTTTGACCGATAGCACATTCTGGTTCATAAATTCATCATGTGGGTCGTTCTCGGGCGGGATGTTGCCATCCGGCAGAACACCCCAGTGACGAGCACAGACCCCAGCATCTCGCTGACCAAGTACCTGAGTCAGCTCTTTCAACGTCCATACATAAAATGCGCCTTCACGCTTCTCGGTGTCATTGGGCGTCGGGAGACTGTCTGCATCTTCTGAGGAGTGGAAAGCGCCTGCTGGTGACTGGATCGGAGCCGATGTGAGATAGCTGACCAGGTCGTACACAGCCCCAAGTAACTCAGGATTATGAGTGATCTTGAATGCGTCTACGAAGACGTCCAAAAGCTGTGCTTGATCGTACAGCATCTTCTCGAAGTGAGGTAATCCCCAGTTTGGAGTGACACTGTACCGCGCAAAACCGTGCCCGATATGGTCTCGAATTCCTCCACGCGCCATGCTAATAAGCGTATTGACTGCCATGGCGGTCGCCCGCTCACACTCGTCCTTCCCGACAATGTCCGACACCGCAGTTGGATAGATCCCCAGGCGCAGCAAAAAGGCCAAATTGGAGGGTGTGGGGAATTTAGGAGCCGTAGAAAATCCTCCATGTACAGGATCGTATCGCGAAACGAAATGCTGATAGGCCTCCTCCAGAAGCTCAATGTCCAGGTCTTCATCCGCTTGCCGATCGCCTTGGTAAGAATGTGTGCCCTCCTCGGCGAATTCGCGAAGCTGTTTGGTGATTTCCTTCGCACTCTCGAGACACCTCTGCTGTTGTGTCTGCCAGACATCCCGGAGCTTTTCGAGGATTTCGACAAATCCGATCGTCTCGTTTCCTGTCAGGCTGGAGGAGTTGGGGCCGGGCCAGTAAGTCCCACCAAAAACAGGTTCAAGATCTGGAGTAAGAAAAACATTCAAGGGCCAGCCGCCCGATCCGGTGGTTGCCTGGACATAATTCATGTAGACATCGTCGACATCGGGTCGCTCCTCTCTGTCCACCTTGATTGGGATGAACGACTCGTTCAGCACTGAAGCCACTTCGTGGGACATGAAAGACTCCTTTTCCATAACATGGCACCCTAATGCCGGTAATTAATTCCGAGAATCAATGCGACCAAGTATCAAAGGGAAAGGCAGGCTTACAATGACATGCCGAATACCCGATGCTCAGGAAGATCAGCCGATTATGGCGTCTGGCCAACCCGATGGCTTCTGTGTCCCACAGCTGCCATGCTACTGGATTGTTCATATGCGCCCGCACCTATTAATACGTCAGTTAGAATAGACGGGGTTCGATTTGCGGGGATTCGACGGACGTAAGGTGATTTGCTGTCCCGCAGTCGATTGACGAGCTTCGGTCCTGCGTCGGCCAGATTATGATGCATGCCTGATGGGGCAGCCATGTTGAGGCCGTAAGACATTCACGTGGTCCTAAGCCTTTCAGCCAGTCGATAGTTCGTCGAGATCTCGCACAAGATAGGCAGCCTGCTTGCGATGCGCGCGTGGGTTAGAAAGCAGCTACAGGCAGCCGATAAGGTATCACCACTTGGCCGTTGTATCGGGGCTAAAAGATGGCAGGGAACTAGCGGGGAATAAGAGAGTGAGTGACAAACCAGCTGCAAGCGATCTAATCCAGAGAACCAGCAATATCCAACGATCGATCGAAGAGTAAAGGTAACGGAGTGATTCGGCAGACAGACAGGCAAGCGGCGGATGAGGGGAGAGGGGAAAGAGGAAGGAAACGCATGTGCCCGCGTTACTAGTCAGTTTAGTAACATCACTAGTCCGCCTGGCCCGCATCCGGGAGATCGTCGCCCGTGCGTCATGGACTCGCCCCTGCATGGTCACGTGGATGGTAGTCACACCTCGGCATTCTACGTGAGACCGTACGCTACGGGCTGATTCTACTGATTATGGCTTGGAAGTACGAGTATAGTCGTGACGGTCATTTATGAATTCTTGGAGTAGTCTCAGTCCTCGCCCATAAGCTCGGCCAGCTCCCGCTCCTCCTCTTCCGTAAGCATCGACCCGGGGTTGGTGGGCTGCTCTTCATCCTCGGTCGAGGTCTTTTGTGCCATGGCTACTGCCGTCTGAAGCTCATCGGGCTTCAGAGACCACTGTCGGATAGTGGCATCAATACTGACACTGACAACTGTTGCACCCACGAGTACTAGCCCTGTCACTTCTTCGTAATGTCCAGAGAAGGTATGGTAGAGTTGTCCGGTCTGTTTCGTTGCGGTTAGCAGAAGTCCAGTCAACGCAGCAATCGTAGAGGAGTATAGACCTACCGATCGATTCCATACGCGGACCTCTTCATCACGGCACGCTGTGACCACCCACCCACCTTGCTCATAAACCACCACATCACGAACATAGTCGGGATGATCCAGGGTTGTGTTGGGTTTCCAGCCTTCATCTCGACTCAAGCACTTGGTGGTCTTGTCGGCTGAAGCAGTCCACAAATCGGCATCCTGGTCGAAGAACAGTTTGTGCACGTTGGTCTCGTGAGCCAGAATTGCAGCGGTACCGGTTTGATCTTGGCTGCCCTTAGAGATGTCGAATTGGCGAATCTCTCTGTCGCTTCCGGCACTGAATACAATCGGCTCTGGGCTATCCGAGTCCAGCGAGATGGGATCAAAGGCCAAATTTTGAATCCCCTTGGCGTGGCCCTTCAGCACGGCCAATCGTTGCCCAGTCGCGATGTCGAAAACTATTATTTGCGCATCGGCGCCACCCGAAACCAGAACATCTTGCCCACGTAGTCTCGTGCTGATGACGGACCGGACAAAATCCGTGTGGCCTTCATATCGCAGCTTGCGTTCCTTTGTAGTTGCATCCCAACTCCAAACCGTCTTATCCCAGCACCCAGCGAATAACAGGCGACTATTGGGTGAAAAGCATAAGCTCGTAATCGGTGCGGTTGGTCCCTTGTAGATGGCTGCGGTTTCTCCGGTCTAACACAGATACCCAAGGACAGATCCCCATAATTTAGCCACAGTCCTCGCAAAACGGCTGTGCTGTGCACCTACTTCGAGTATGACCTTGCGCACTGTTCCACCACTCTGAGCCACGAAGACAGCGTTTGCGTTTAAGGGATCAGCAGCGACGGCCAGAATCTTGCTCTGGAGCCGAATAGGGTTTCCGTTGGTATTTTGTGACTTGGCATCCTTGCGTTTTTGCTCATCAAGGGAAGCTCTGCAGCCGGAAGGAATCAGCGAGGAGCATGCGAACTGCAGCTGGGCAGCGATAAGGAAACGAACGTAGTCTGAAAGAAGTCATCGCGATGGCTCGATTGCGCCATTGTGAAGCTTGTGAAAGGTATCAGATGAGAGGAAGACACTGGTTGTAATCAATTGAGTTTTTGTGATTGTGATCATCATCATCATCATCATCATCATCATCATCACCGAGTCCCGACCCACGGTATCATGACTAAGCTCCAGCAAGCAACCAACTTTCGGTCCCGTCCCCGCCCTCACGTGGTTCCTTTTGGGCAAAACTGGCGAAGGAACTGCGCGGTGAGCTTCTCACGCTCACCGGAGCCCCAACTCTTCCCACCCACAAAACCGGCTTCTTCCGTCTTTCGATTTCGACCTTTCCTCTTCCTTCTTCCTTTCACTTCTCTGCCCTTCTCTCTCTTCCCCAATTTTCCTATATCTTCACCTCTCCCTCTTTCTTCCCCTTGTTCTTTTCTCTCCTTTTCTGCGCGTCAATCGCGCAACTCCCTCTCAGCATGGATATGAACCATTTAATAGGGTCAGTCTTCTATGCCTACCTACTGGTGTGATCCTGGGTTTGTGCGGCTAGGCGGGAGTTAACACCTGGCAGTCAGCGGTTCAACCTGATCTCCAAGAGTGACATTCGGTATGTGCCACCTTTTCAACCCTTCTGAAGCTTCCTGCTTCGGCTTCAGCTCCGTGCCCGCGTCCATTGCCCTCGGAGTCATTGCCAATGACTGTTCGTGCTGACAGCTCCCCCCGCTAGCTATGTTGGAACCTTGCATGAGATCAACCCTGAAGCGTCCACAATAGCTCTGGAGAATGTCGTCTCTTTTGGAACTGAGGGCCGTCGAGGCAACCCAGCTGAAGAGATCGCCCCGTCTGCCAGTGTTTATGAATACATTGTCTTCCGGGGCAGCGACGTAAAAGACATTAGCGTAGCGGAGGACAAGAAGGAAAATGCACCATCTGAGCCTCCTCAGGTCCCTGATGATCCTGCCATCCTGGGGGTAAGTTTGCTCACCACACTCTCCACTCTCCCCGCCCCTCGTCACCTCTGGTGTTGGTGTCCATTGGACACTCGATCTTATGATGAAATATCTCGGATGTAAACTCACAGACCTGTTCTGAATGCGCAAAACCGTGTGGATTTTTCCGTTGCCTTCCTTCTGACAAGATCAAAACACCTTACCCTTGGCCTTTGCACAAGAAAACACTTCCTGTGATGCAAGATGCTAACGTGTCAATTGGTGTAGAGCATGTCTCGTCCTGGTCCAGGTCCTCAAGGCATTCCTCCTCACTCCCAAGCACAGCAACCTCCTCGTCCAGCTCCTGGTTATCCCCAGCAACCTCAGTTCCAGGGCTTCTACCCTCCCTATGGGCAGCGCTTTGGGGCTCCTGGTTTCCCTCCTGGGCCCGGATTCCCTAATATGCCGTACGGAGCTCCTCCCCCAGGATGGTACCCTCCCCCGGGTCAAGGATTCCCTCAAGGACCAGGCCAGTTTCCCCCTCATCAGATGCCTATTGGACCCCCTGGTCAACACCAGACCCCTCCGCCACAGCGTCAGGGGGCGCCTGGTGCGGGCCCTGTAAACGTTCCTAAAGCCACCTCCGAGCTTCCCGTTGGTGAACGGCCCTCCAGTAAGCCCGCCAGCCGGAATGCCACGCCTGCACCTGCTGCTGGTCAGAACCCTCCTCCACCCCCTGTTGAATCGAAACCTTCCGTAACGGAAGCCGTACAAGCCTCCAGTATTCCCGCGGCGGCGGCGGCGCATCCGGTTGCATCCAAGATACCACCCACCGGACCCAGGAGCGGACGTGTGCAGCCGGCCATCCCGATTGCTACGCACTCTAAGCCGCCAGTCCCAGCTGTAGGCCCTTACCCCGGTGCTGGTGTGGGAAACAATGTGTCGCAAGGTACTGCTGCTCAGGCGGCCATTACTGAAGCCACTCGTGCTGCCACTGCTGCTGTTGCGGCTGCCATGGCTAAATTGCCCCAGCCCAGTGCACAGAAGGCTCCGGGTCATGGCGATGCGTCTGTGGACGCCGTGGCAAAGCAGCTCGCTGAGATGAAGCCTTACGAGGGAAACCGGGCTCCTCGCGGCGGTCACCCGCACCCACGGGGAGGACGTGGTGGTCACCGCGCTCCTTATCAGGGCCAGGCGAAGAAGGTTGAGGTTCCTGACACCGACTACGACTTCGAGACCGCGAATGCCAAGTTCAACAAGCAGGATCTGGTGAAGGAGGCTATCGCCACTGGCTCACCGGTGCATGAAGCCGAGGCTGCTTTCCCTGAGGGCGAGGACGAATATACCGATAAGCCTAGTGCGGATAACGTCAATTCGTACAACCGGGCTACGTCCTTCTTTGACAACATCTCGAGTGAGGCTCGTGACCGGGAAGAGGGTACTGGTGCTCGTGCCGGTGGTCGTGAGTGGCGCGGTGAGGAGGAGAAGCGGAACATCGAGACCTTTGGCCAGGGCAGCGTCGATGGATATCGGGGCAGCTATCGGGGCCGTGGCAGAGGAAGAGGCTACGGCCGTGGCCGCGGAGGTTATGGTCGTGGATACAACTCTCGTGGCCGTGGCGGTCTCCGTGGTGGTCGCAATGCTCCTCAGTCCACCGGTGTGCCTACGCAGATTTGAATCGTCCCTTTGGTTTTGTCTTTTCATGACTGTCAAGCAGCAGTTCATTGTATCATGCGCTTAGCGATTATTGTTGCTATTCTTTTCTCTGAGGAGTGGTTTATGTCCGTCCACGACTACTTTTTTTGTTTCTCCTGATATCCCTGGCGTCTGATGGAGCATCCAATGAATACATACATGGTCTTGACGTGCAGAAGGTCATGGCTTTCGATTGTGATTGGGATCCTTATGGGTTATGGTGAATTTGGTGAAATATGTGCTGGGATGGCTACTGTTACATCTGGGGTCAAATTTGGCGTTCTTCATACTCATGCATGAGCAGGTCTCGAACTCTCACTGCAGCGATCTTCTGGACGGGGGACGTCTGTTACTATTGTGTTTGATATCGTCACCTCACATGGACCAATGTCTGAGGTTCTGGATATGTCGCTTGGCTGCTCCAGTCTCTCTGTTGTGGATGTGGATTACGTCGGACAATGATTGAGCGTGGACCATCTTTGTATCATACTATGAGACATTATCCTTGATGATGAAATCAAAAGACCGAAAAAGGAGGCCTTCTGGCCTACCAAGCAGTTTTCCTTGAGTAGTCTCGTGACGAGTACTTCCTTCGCTTGTAGATGCACGGATACTCCGGCCAACTTCCCCTCACCGGCCTTCCATGCTCCCTGACATCAACGGTAAAGATTCACTCTCCCCCACCCCACCATGCGTCATTATTAATCTTAGAATTGGTATTATCAAAGCTTCACCGCGGGGATGGTCAATTCTCATTCGTGTTCCTCCGCCTGAAGATTGTGTTTCATTCGGCAATGTCCCCCTCACGAGCCGTCCATATGCCTCGGCCAAGAACGCTCGTCATACCCGAAAGAAGCAGTGATGTGGAGCAGCCCTGAGAAGCACTCATAAATGGGGGACAGTTCCAGTCCATTCGAAGGGTCACGGGTATAATGGGGCTTCAAGTCTTGCCGGTTCCACAAATTCAGTTCACCGTGAGCCACGGTCAGTCGAGTCCAGCAAGCGGGGAAAGCTATATATACGGTAGCGCAACACTACCGCCATGGGGTATATCAATGAACGACTGAAGAAGGTTTCGGAGATCATTTCGCCAACAACCTCTGCCGCAGGTGATCGTACTACCAACATGACTACTACTTCTGAGCGTGTCCAAGTTCCGGATCAGCTTCCTTGGGATCCGAATTGCACGCGGTTCCCCACGCGCAAGGAACTGCCTAAGATCCCCGGGGCTCCGAAGGATGCGGCATGGGTTTGGGGGAAGGATGATCAGGTACTGTACTGTTGCGGTTTCGTCTTCGGGGAGAATGCACCTCGAATTTCCTAGCTGACCTTGTCTACTTGGTAGCTCGGACGGTTGAATCTGCTGACGCCGGCTCGGGTCAAAGCTGCTGCTGCGGAGATCAAGCTGGGGGAGATGATTCGACTTGAGTGAGTTTTGTTGAATCAGTGGCTATTGTCTCGTCTCGTGGAGGAGGGCGTAGTTACAAACTACGTGGCTCTGTTGTGCAAAGAAGCTGATGCAGCAACAGTCTCCCATTGCATATCCCCGAGACCCCGGCCTTCGACCGCGAGCTCTTCCAGCATCATATCAAGGAGCTCGTCGAGGACGTGGTCTACGACGATACCTACACCCTGAACACGCAGAGTGGCACCCAGTGGGATGGATTTCGCCATGTACGTTGCTCTCTCTTACCGGGCTTCTCCATAAAGCTAGAGGCTTGAAATCCAACGATCCTGACATATATGCTAACCTGTTGATCGATCCCGCTACCGATAGTTCGCCCACCTGGACACCAAACTCTTCTACAACGGGGTACGGACAGTCCAGCCCCAAACCAGACACACACACGCGCACACATCCAACTAACCAATCCCTCCAAGGCCAAATCCACCGACTTCAAACCTCCCTCCACGACCTCCACACCCCCCTCCCCCCACAAATGCAGCATCCACCACCTCTCCACCCACGGCCTCGCCACCCGCGCCATCCTTCTCGACTACCGGCACTACCACAGCACCACGCACCCCGAAAACCCCTACGACCCCTACACCTCCCACCCCATCCCCCTATCGGCCTTACACGCCTGCGCCCGCGCTCAAGGCATTAACCCACTCCCCGCCTCCCAAGGCGGCGACATCCAACCGGGCGACCTCCTCCTCGTCCGCTCCGGCTTCGTCGAGCAGTACCACACCCTGCCAGCCCAGGAACGCACCGCCGCCGCGCGCCGCTCCCACGCCGACCTCCGCTGGGCCGGGGTCGCGCAGGACGAGGACGTGCTGACCTGGTTGCATGACTGCTACTTCGCGGCGGTGGCGGGGGATTCGCCGACGTTCGAGTGCTGGCCGCCCACCCGTGATGGCGGGCAAGGGTTCATGCATCAGGAGTTGCTCGCGTGCTGGGGGATGATGATCGGGGAGATGTGGGATTTGGAACGCTTGGCGAGCCGGTGTCGGGAGTTGGGCCGGTGGACCGTCTTTGTGACGAGTGCGCCGGCTATGGTCTTCGGTGAGTTCCTGAGTTCCTCTTTTTCTTTTTTTTTGCTTGGGTCTTGGTTGGTTGAAAGGGGGGGTGGCCGGGGGGTGATTCTTCTGGGGGATGTGGGAGGTAGGAGGTCCACGGTGGGAGATCTTGGCTAACGATATCATGTGTATGTGTAGGAGGTGTTGGATCGCATGCTAATGCTACGGCGATCTTGTAATTTGGGGGTCTGTCCTTGGAATCAAGGGATACTAAAATGAGGTACATGCTTAGCGGATTAGCTATGCACTGAGGGATGGTAGTATTTCCTCACTGGGCAATGGACGAAGGAGAAATTCAAGGATTCTTTCATTGGCAGCAGTCATCACGTCATTACGTTCATTAAAAGTAGTACTAGTAGTAGGAAAATGGACATAGGAAAAACGGATATCCTGCCCTTATCTCCATCGCCATACTAGACGAAAGCAAGGGTCTTTCCATGACTAATCGACTCAGAGGCTCATGTCATGTACTTGTACTGGTGCATGGCAATGACCAGCAGACAATACACCAAGACAAAACATGCAAAACATCAAGCAACGGGGGTATCAACTCCACCGCAACAACCTCACGGCCAAAGCTAACAAGCACTTCAGAAAAAGTCCTCCGGCCATTGGAAGCTGTGCGCACCGCCCGAGCCCAACCGCTTGCCCGCTCCCACGGTCTCAAGCTTCTGTCCCAATGGCGACTGGGGTTGGGGTTGGGGCTGTGCCTGCGCCTTTTCGCGATCCCGCGCCTCCCGCTTCTTGCCCATCTCCTTCGCCAGCCGTCGGTCTACCTTCGCCGCGGTGGCAGACAGGTTCTTCGGGAGCGGTGGCACAGGCGGGATGTACTCGTAGCGAGCCGACTTCTTTTTACTCGGAGACGAACTGGGACTGGGGCTGGTCATTACCTCCCCGGATGCCAGAGTCGTCGTTATGGCCATCTCCTCGGACTGATCCGCCTTCACCAGCGCGACGCTGCTGCTATACAGCTGCAGCTGAGCCTGCTGATTTTCCTTGTCGTGCTCATCCGCCTTACCCGGACTAGGCAGCATTTGGCTCTCGCCCGCACTGGCTGATCGCAGATCTGGGCGGCCCTTTTTCATCCGCAGGCTAGGCTGAGGCTGGGGGGCACGGTTCCTGGAGTTTGAGGCGCGTCTACGCGCCGCCACTGCTGAAGGCGAGCGAGGGTTGCTGGGTGATGATCGGAGGGGGGTGGAGCGTCTGCGGCCGCGTTCCTCGCTGGGAGTATTCGGGGAACGACTGGAAGCAGAATGCTTTCGCTCGACGGAGCCGGGGCTGTCGCCGGGGCCCATTTTCGGCAGTTTGGGCTTACGAGGAGTGGGTGTACCGGCTGTTCCGTAATATTGGCGGTTGTCTATATGTTGCGTCGGTTCAGGCTGGATCTTTTTTAGAGATGCAGGGTCTGGCGACTTGCGTTTGAGTGTGGGACTGTCTGCGGTCAAAGACGATTGGGGCTGGGGATCCTTAGGTGTTCGTGGTGTCATACCATCCTGTTGCTGCTGCGTACCGGTTATAGGCTTGCTTGGTGTGGTTTTCTGCTGCGATTCGACAGGCTCATTCTGGTGAATGTTCTCCGCCAGGGAGAGTAAAGGTGTCGACACGGCTCGAGAGGAAGTCGGGGATGTCGGCCGGCTATTACCGTGCAACAACCGCTCCGATGGGAGCGAGGGAAGTGCGCCGGGGACAAATTTGCGAGAGTATGGTTTGTCGAGAAAGGGAGTCGGTTCCTGCACTTCTTCCTCGTCGCCAACCAAGTCGTGCAATTCCCGACGCGCCCGTTGTAACTTGAGCTCCAGGTCGCTCACGCGCTTCATCAGCTTGGCCTGTCGCTGAAGCTCTTTACGCGACTTCTGTCGTCGCACTTCTGCGCCATCCGGCTGTTCCTCGGATGAAAGCTTGTTCGAGTCCAAGCGCTTAATGTATGGAATGCCCAAGGATGACTTGGCCTTGCGCAGCTCCTGGAACGAGGATCGAATAGACCCTCCGGACTCGTTCCCTTCTCCCGAGTTCTGTCTCGCATGATGCGCCATGGGCCGGTAAGTCGCTGGCTCTGGGATGGGATTCCAGGATTTGGGAGGAACTCCAGACTCCCCGTCCAAACTCCGTATATAGCTGCCCTTGACTGTACCCTTGTATCCGGAGCGCTTGAGCTCCGCGTAGGCCCGCTCTGCCTGAGCAAGCGGATCGTCCGGCTGTTTGTTGGCCTCAGCATTGTTTTTCCACCCCCAAGCGCCGAAGGGATTGAAGGCGGAGGCAATCGCCTTTCCAAACCGGAATATGCCCGAGCCCCTTTGCTGGCCCGTACCATTTCCCGCGTGGCGTGCATCATCGCGCAGGAAGATACTCGGTGGCTTCTCGCTCACGCTGTCGCTCATTGTTCCCTCGACGAACCGCGATCGTCGGCCCCGACCGGACGCACCAGCCTGGCGACCGAACCGGCCGGATCCCATTGACGTCCGTGGAGAGATCTTACCCACTGCAGTCTGGAACGGCTTCCGGTGCCCGCCCGTCTTGTTGCTGTTGCCTGCAGCCCTTTGGACAGGATGTTGTTGATCATCATTATCTTGCGGCATCGAAGGTTCGCCGCCGTTCTCCAACTGTAAAGGCCACTCATTCGACCGCCGTCGCTTTGCCGAATGAACGGACGGGGATCTACTCTGCACGCGGGAGGGATAATTCGACTCTTCGGCATCGTCAAATCGACCGGAATCGTCCGACTCGGATTCGGGTTCATCGGCGGTGGAGTCACCGATGGTGCGCGCATGTTTGCGACGGGGGCTTTTATGTTGGTGGACCACGTGGGGGTCGGCGCACATGGACTGAAGCGATAGTTCGAGCTGGCGATCGGTCTCGAGCGCGTCAACACCCTTCCCCTCCGGATGGTTATCGATCGAGGCCTGAACGTTGGACAGATTGACAGCGTTAATTTTGATTCAGAGCTTCGTTCAAAACCAGTTCAATCCTGGATGTCTGTGAACGCGACGGCAGAGGTGTCACACCCGCTGGCGCAAGGGGAGGTGAAAGCGCGCCACGGGCAGGACAGAAGCTTGAACGGTGCGGGTGGAATAGAAATCATAAGACAGACTGGAAGCAAGAGAGCGGAAGGAAACGGAGGGGGGAGGTGTTTACTTGAGGGACTTGGTACTAACCTCAACCGTGCAGTGTCCATGGGCGCGATCGGCCATCCTAACTGCGCTTGCGTGCTCACAATTCATCCATCCACTTTCGCACCGTCGGTCGGTCGATCGGTCGGTTGGTCGGTCGCTTGCACACCTTCACACTTTACTCTATCGATCCAGAGTCAGATAGGCGCAGGTCCAGTCGATCTTATCTTCTTCCGTCAACAGAGATCCTGGAAGGATATCATCTACTGGGCAAATAACGATAGAAACCCGGGGAAAACCACGCGGGGGAGAGGGGGGAGGGGGAGAGGGGAAGAGAAGTGGAGGAGAGAAAAGAAGCGGTCAGGCAGAGAAGGCAGCGGCGGCGGCGGCAATGACGAGGACGAGCAGAGGACAAAGTGGGTTGTTTTTAGCAAGTGACCAACAATGTTGTTTTTATTGTTGTTTACCTCGGGCGTTCCGGGTTTGTTTACATTTGTTTACATTTAAGGTAAGGCAATCAGTCCCTCATGTGCCAAGCCCATCTACACACACCGTGTCTGGGATGACAATGCTTCATTTTCCATGGTCCGAGAGGTAGCGATCACGCCGGCTGCTCATCATCCTATCCTCGTCATAATCGTAGTCATCAGATCCCTTGTCTCCGCGACGTCTCATACGGACATCGCGCCGAATACGGACACGGCAGCCCTGCTCCGCAATGATCCGACTCAGATGTGTGCTTTGTGTTAGACCCGGGAACTTCTTCGCGCTGAAAACTGTGAATGGGACTGACACAACCTCGAGGCGAAATTCGAGGAACGACTTTGGTGTCATCGGCTTTAATGGGTTCGTCTTCAGCATTGGTGACGGGATCGGCGCTCCCTCGTCCGCATCCTTGCTTTCCTTGGTCTCCTCGTAAAGATGGAAGCTCAGCCGGTAAAGTCCTTCGTGACGCACCGATAAATCCGGGAAGATGAAGAATCCCGCCGGAAAAGGGCGATCAAGATATGCCACTCCTGCCACGGGCACGCCTGTGAGGACGGGGAATGTTGGAGCTGGAGCAAGTCTACCCTGTGCCATTGAACGTGCGTTGTCTAATGTGGCGTAGAGGAAGAAGTTGGCGTTATAAGCGAAGGTGATGTCCGTACAAAGCGTGTCGTCGCTGGGATCCGATTCGAAAATCCGCAGCTCAACCACAGGCGGAGGATCAACCGGACGACGGTCGGCAGAAGCTTTCGGAGACACTTTTTGTCAGTCTCTTCACAAACAAACAATCCATATGAAGCGGGTTCAAAGACGTACATTTGGCGCCTGCACCGCATGCTCTTGCCCGCTCGGGTTGTTGCATCACAGTAAGCTTGTATGTAAGCTTCTTCCCCTCACGAGTGATCCGGCTGACGGAGTGCTCCGTCTCATTTACCGGGGGCGATAGAGGAGGTCTAGAAGCCATGGTGAAGCACTGATGCAGATCTGATAGCCTGAGAGAATGTTAGGTGACTACTTGACTGACATATTCCCAGCGATCTCTGATCGTTGGCGAAAGAGAAGAGAACGAATGGGAGGACAAAAACTCACTATGAGACAACCATAGATGAAAAAATGCAACCGAACTATGACCAAGTCGGAGACGGGAATACGCGCAGCAACCTTCCGGGTCCCCAAGCTGTATTATTATGTCTTTGATGTAGAGGCTGCTAGTAGCCGATGAAAAAGTCACGAGCCGACCCTGCGGTTGAGTGAAACGGAAGAGTGTGGTAGGAGGAGGGGGTGGAGGCGAGAACGGGGGCAAACGAGAGGAATTCGCTGCAGCGACCGAGCCAAGAAGGTTAAGAAGTAGCAAATAAACGTGAAGCAGGCGTCGCAACGGACAAGAAGTAGGAAAAATTAAGGGAGGAAGAAAATCGAACTGGGGACAACTGCGAATTGGGCTGGGGGGAGAACAGATAACAGCCCAGAGCGATTGACCCGTGCGAAGTTTCAGATAGGAAAGGAGGGGGGGGGGGTAGTGAGTAGTAGAAGGATGAGGAGGAGGAGGAGGAGGAAGAGGAGGGAAGAGGATGTTCAAGATGGGGATGGAGGAGGAAGATGAAGAAAGAGTGTGACAAGACTAGACCCGACTAGATTTCCACAGAGAGAGGGGGGAAAGGCAGAGAGAGAGAGGAAGAGTCAGCTGTGTACTGTATGTATGTACTGAAGTAACTAAAACCAAGTAACTAACTAAACTACCTCACAGACATAGTACTAATTTGATTGAGGTAACTAACCAACTAACTGGAACTAAGCAAGCCGCCGAGAGTGAACTAAGGAGGGGAGAACAAGCCGAAATGATAATACGTGGACCTTAACCACAACTACCTAACCTAACTGACTTAAAAAACAACTTCTACTATGCCAGTGAAGTATGAAGAGAAGAATACCTACTGAGTCTCCGTACTGGCTAATAATATTATTACCCTGCTTTCTGGATCGGGCGGCCCACCTCCGGCTCTTCGGTCTGATGCCCGCAAAGAATGGCGGAAATGGATGGTATCGTATCATCCCTCATCATCCCAAAAACTCTAATCCTACCAGGGGGGGGAGGAGCTGCAGAAGAGGAGGTGAAGGTTGGTATTCAGTAACGGAGAAAACGATGATAACAAGAAACTGACAACCTAGAAGTGTCACACATAGCAGCTAATATTTAATAAAAGATCATTATCTACTTATCAAGTCATGAAAAGCAGGTAACCATACCTCATAGTCTAATCCTGTAAATTAACCAATCGTTCGGGTTCACGGGCAAAAGTTGAAGAAAACCAAATCCGGCACTAGCTGGAGCCGGAGGGGTGGACACTGGGACAAGCTAGACTGGTAGCTGATCCACCGTCTAAGGCAATGGGCCCGATGGCACTTCCACGGGTCTTCATTAATTGTGAATGCGACCGGCCGATGAACTCGCGGAGGGGGCCAAATGGACGAAAGGTGCTGAAAGGTTTCCTCCGTAGAACCTTAATCACAAGGAAAACAAAAAATATTCGATAGAATCAATATTGACAGCTAGAAAAATAGAAAAAAAAAACCTTTACCTCCATCAAAATAATATCAGAAGAATAATATTAATATGATGTGGTATGAGTAGTATGCGTTGTAACTTAGTGGGGCTGACAGACTTGACTGACTCTGGGGCTTCCGGGGAGGAGAAACCTGGAGGGCCACGGCTGTGATGTCGTAGTTTAGGGTGCTTTAGGGTGCGACCGACATGACGGAATAACCTCCGGGGCGGATATTGAATCTTCTTCTTAGTTCTTACCACGGTTGAACTTGTAAAGCCCAACTAAAGTTGGTAAGCGTCGCAGCTATTGATCTCGCTAGCTAGGAACAGCAACAGCTTAGTATCCTGACATCCATGATTGTTCTCTAAGCGATGCGACCTCAATGGACAGGAATCTGTTAGTAGCGGAGGTACTAAGCTGAAAGAGTACTAGCAGAGGTCTCTCAGTGGGCTCTATGCTGGGCTGTGTAATACTCGGTAGTAATACACATACACTGAATCATGAAGGAAATAATGGCAGACAGTAAGTACTAAGTACTATTCTAGTAGGTACGAATATCAAGGCAATTGGACCATCATTCTCGCAAGTGGATTGTACTGAGTAAGGCGATTCTTCCTCTGCTAGGAGCTTGAGACAGCCAGTAAGATGCATGGACGGTCTCCCTCCCCCTGCCCCTTGACATGATGCTTGCGAACTCAAAAGCAAGGTACCTGCTGTCGAAGGCATGGACTTGTTCCTTTATTCATCCCGTTTGGCGCGGTATACTTCCTATCGCTTATACTACTGGTAGACACTCTCTGCAGCTGAATCGTTGTGCTGACGGGGTGCATGATTGGACATAGAACGTTGGAGGACATGGCCCCTCCGATGGGAAGCTGCTGAAGTTGCCAATGGTCCCGGTAGTACATTAAACCCTGAGGTGTAATCCTTAGGGATATACACTCTCCGCGGTGGGGATGCTGTTGGCACTTGACAATCGGCTGCGCGGTCACGGAATTCCAAGCAATGAACCTCACCTGCAACAAGTAAGTACCCGAGTGCTACCCATGTTCATTTTGACCACATGGAGGAGCTACAGAAGCCGTGATGGGTCATGAAGTTAGGATTTCCCAGTCCGGCGGATCAGTTGCTTCTCCCAGGTGTTCGGGGCGCAAAATACATGACAACAGGCCAGTGGGGGTGGTCAATGCGCCCTTTCCTGCCATCCTGCAGATGCAACCCCAGCGCCTTGCTTGGCTTAAGTGTTATCACTTGGTTAATCCAGCATACCTGGTATCTCAAACGATTCAGATTATTTTCCTTTAAGTCATTCAGAACTTCTTGTCACCTACTTATCAATGCGATCCATAGATGCTGTTGTGGCCACCTTCGACCCGACCGAGGCTGGGAGGGCAGAATAAAACCGCCGGACTTTACAAGATGGTATCGATAGTAGTTCAGCAGGTGGCACCACCACACAAGGGTATTTTTTGCCTTTGAGCTATCGTTGCAGCCTGCATACGCAATTCGCACGGCGAGCCAATCATTTATCGAATGGAGACAATTATAATCTTCAAACCTGGGATTTGAGGAGATCCATCATTAGGGTACCGAACGCAAACTACCGGAAGAAGGATCTCATTGAATAAATAGCATTATGAGCAGGGGTTGCTGAACACTTGCAAACCCAATCTATCGATGCATTCAATGATACATACACACTCTGTTCCTCCCTCGTCCCTCTTTCATAATTTTGGAACTATTTGCGATCACGAAGAATCTTAGTCATGGTGGCCCTGGCTTACTGTTGGTTTATTACTGGCACTAGGAAATCACCGAATGGAACCATTATTACCGGCCGAACCTAGGAGAGAAAACCTTAATTGTGTGAGCGGAAAAGCAAATCTGGCACCGATCGAGGTACTGCTGATCACTACTTAACTAAGTAGGAGTCGGGATTTGAAAACCCATCAGCACCGCCTCCAGAATAAAATTGGATAGTCGGATCTGCAGCGGGCGGGTGGCCCTGAGGCAGCAAAAGCGTTTAGGCCCTCAGGCTGATGCGGCACATCTCCGGGGGTCGGGAAAAAGTACGACGACTAAATCATTTAAAAAAAGAAAAAAAAAGTATGAGTGAATCAGTAAGGTACTGTACAGCCCGGCACAGTCACACTACATGACTACTGGGCCACTGGCATACCACACCTTAGCAGTTACTGGCTTGGTACGGGTGGTCCCTGCGCCTGACTCTTCCGTCTCTGGCCAGTGCCGACCGGACATGATCCATGATCCCTGCTTCTTGATCCATGGTCTCTCACCTTTGATCCTTGATCCATGCCATGGTCCTTCAGGCAATTTACGCTCTTATAGTCTAGCCCTGCACAACGAAGCCAACCATACATCACGCCCCACTTTTCTCCTTCAGAGTTCGGGATGCAGGCATCGGCTCGAGGCTCCATCATCTTACTCATTACTGGGTAGCCCACAGAGAAAAACGCCTAAGAGTCGGACTCTCGTGCCACTCTCCGTACGGAGTACGTACCCAAATGAAGGCGGCGGCTGAGTGGAATAGTGGAAACGCTGGAAAAGTTTCAATCCGCCCCACTTGAACGGTCCGCACCGAATAGAGCGGCCCCATCTCAACTACTGGCACTGCTGCTCCGTCCTGGCCTTCGAGACACTCACTTTTCCTCGTGTGTCTGACTTCTTGATACTGCTTAGGCGCTTAGACATTCAGGCAAATGCCAGTTCCGCCCGGAGCTGTCGTCTAGAAAGGGGCTTGCCCCGGACGATCGTGATTCCATCCTGTCAGTGCTCGAAGACGCGCCGTGAGGATCGACTTCAGGGGCCACCATCCCCTTGAAGACTTAGGAGAGCCCTGATAGAGCCAGAGACTAGTAGTCCGCACTCCGTAGATCCCGAATAAATGCAGCCTATGGGCTCAGTACAGCTTCTGGGTGTTTTCTCGATCAGCTCTGGATCACGAATTCGGGTCTATCACACTTTCCGAGGCATTCGATGGCGTTTGAACGATCAGGGAGGATCTCCGTGCCGTATCCGATCGTCACTCAGCATACGTGAATCATATCTTTCACCGACGACCGGAGTAGGGGGTTACAGAAAGCAAACATCTTATGCAGTTGCTCAGCACCCTGTTTACCCCTTCTTTACCCGAATGAATTTTGATAGTCCTGTTTTAGGTTTATGACTCCAGCAAGTTGCTTGGAACTATCCTGCGAGGGATCGTCCAGTAACCAGAGTATCGGGTCTTGCCAGCATGGAATCCCCCGTCAACTTGCATAGGCTATGTGTATGCTAGTCAATTTCCAGCACTTGGGGAGGTAAGGTAGGGGTCTAATATTCATGGAGTCATCAGGCGCACAAAGCGAAACGATCGTACAGAATCCTCCAATCGCTTTTCATGATCGGAACGATCAGG